GCCTTGTGAAGGGACTTGTGACTGGCCTTGTGAAGGGACTTGTGACTGGCCTTGTGAAGGGACTTGTGACTGACCTTGTGAAGGGACTTGTGACTGGCCTTGTGAAGGGACTTGTGACTGGCCATGTGAAGGGACTTGTGATGGATTTGAATACAACACTGTTATTTTGCCATGAGGAAATAAATGTAATTGAATTGAAATCATACATGTACGGTACCTTAAGTCAAGTCACAAGCTCTTCAAATTAACTAAGGCAAAAGCATTTCTCTGTCCTTGTGGTTCATCCTGCTACATGGATTTGTGATTAGACTTGTGATGGGCTCAACTACGGTCCTCAATCCTGACCCCAAAAGTTAAAGTACACGAAAGAATATACATGTACGCCATTGGCTCAATGCTCACTGAAAGATTAGGAATGGTTGCATATAAAAACCCCATAGAGATTTACCAGTTGAGTATCTACATGTATTTTGCATGTAGAAAGTTTCCCTTTTTTCAAGTTCATTTGAGCAGAATTTGAGCAGCCTTTCTCACTTCAAAAGGACCTAAAAAAAAATAATTTACTGAAAAAAAAACCTAAAAACAGGGCAGGGGACGTTGTGGAAATTATCGGCAAGTGCTTCCATTGACAAATGAAACTTAAGCTAAGTATTAATACTTTAATTTTATTCATACAACAATCCAAAAGAGGCCCTGACCCTATCAATGATAACATCTCTCAAAAAACCCAGACCCCACCCCTAGCCCATCCCCTTTTGGCACCATCTAGGTTTACTCCTTCGGCCCTTTTGACACCTAAATGAGGCGTCGTGGTAAAAGACCCACTTTCATGTACACCAGCACTTTGCACCTCTTTCCCTGTTTAAACTGCAACAGTTGTATGCTAATCAACAGACAGACTTGTTTACTCAGCCCTTCCAGCTGACCAAACTTCACAATACAGGATATGTACATGTAGTTTCACGCTTGCACGGATAACATTACAGAACCTGAAAGGATGCACAGGTTCAAGTAAAGGCTACACCCATATTACTGGTTTGTCACTCAGTGAAACAACTTTGTGAAATCTTTTCCTTCCAAACTTTGTCTCGAATTTGCCCTTCCTGCATTACACTACACGTACCGGTACATGTTTCTATAGATCTAGAAATAAATGACTCAAAACAAAAAGACAAAGATGATTTTTGTGACTCGACAAAAACAAGGATGCAATAAGAAAAAGGAAAATAAGTTTGGAGGCTTTTACTCCAATGACCCCACTTCTCCAATAAGATCAATGGGTAGTGGACATCTACACGTACAGCATAATACAGTAACATCAGTGAAATGTACTGCTTCTCAATCTCATTGTCTTCAAGGTTGAAAGTTACAAAACAAAGTGACATCACCCCGGTTGATGAGGGAACGCTTGAATTCCCCCATCCCAATATCTCCTTCCCACCAGCCCTAATCACGTAATCAAATCTGGCCCGGACCCAAACAGATTAGTCAGAAGAGGGGCAGGGGGGGGAGGGGGAAATGACGTAGTCACAACAACCACCCCCGCACCCCACATGTTTCAGCCGGGTTGATCCAATTTGAGATTGCATCCCCACACCGATAAATGCCTCCTGGAATGCCAAAGCGTCATCGTGGCTTTGCACCAGCTGCGCGAGAGACTAGTGTCTGACTTTATTCACGTACTTTCCACACCTACTGGTACAGTATAAGCTGTAGATATATCTGATGAGCTGTAAGAAATGCGGCATGAGACAACTACTCAGTCGCTCCAAATCAATCATTTACAGCCAGCCTATTTCTATCTGCCCGGAGTAACTTAATAAGCACTTTATTAAATTAATGAAGCTGATTTCATTAATCACAGTAGAAGATGGTAAAATTGGAGTGCTATTTGTGGGTAGCCTAAAGAACTGGCAAATTAGAGAGTGCAAAGAAACCACTCGTACTTTAAATATAACACTCTGGGCTTGCTACCGTACAGCGCTAACATGCATGTACCGCCGGGCAGCAAAAATGTTACACACTATTTACAGATCAAAACACAAATAAGCCATTTCTACTTGCTTTACACAGTCACTGATCATGTACCACCGCCGGTATTTTGAGCACCAATGAAGCATGGATTATATTGTCTGCATGAAGCCAGGAACATGTACAGTACATGTACGTGTGTCCAAAGAGAAATTATTATGTATGTATGTAGTGTGATGAATTTCCTGTTTCAATCCCAAGGCAAAAGCAATGGCGGACTATTCATTCCAAGCACACAGGGAACACTCTGGGCTTGCTATTTCCCTTTTAACAAGGGCTGGTATAACATGTTATGTGCACACCGTGATAAAAACTGCAGGGCATTAATGGCAAAGTTGAACAACTAACACAGACTGCTCAGTTACCATACCCGGTACCTCCTTGACATTTGGACATAATGGCCGGCAACTAACAACTATCAGCACTTCGTCTATTGGTTGCTGGCTAACTTTTTAAGAGAAATTACCCGGTATGTGTAACCTTCCTCCATTTATGACCTAAAGTTCACGGACAGTAAACCCGTGACTCTAGCAAGGCAGAAATTGATTCACTGGTATACAAGCAAGAACTACATTTACATGTACTGTAAGTTCATGTACAGTATCCTTGATTTACTTCCATTTATCGAACACTGAACACATAAACCTCATCTCAACAGTGACAAAGACAGTGCCTGGACTGGCACACCATCATCACTGTCACTCCATACCCACAAGAATATCCAAAGCCTTTGTGCACATACTGATGAAAATTAAACTAGCATACTGAGTGCCTCATATGCACTTATACATGCAAGAACATGCATGTGTATCAACATGTAGAGTATGCAGTGTTTCGTTCCAAGAAGTGGTTGCCAGGCAACAGAGCTCCCTATTTTGATCATGTGAGGACCAATTTTGATACGAATGCATTCAATTATTTCCCTTGTGTCCATACGTGATGTCATAGTTTAAGGCAGGCATATGCAATATGCGGTAATAAATGATCTGGGATCAGTGGCGTAGCGAAGGCATTTTCTTTGGGGGAGGGAGTGCGGGAGTCACATTGCCGACTTGTAACTTGTTCGCCAACCTCGTGTCCTGTAACATTTACAAAGTGATCTGTGGTACACTACATTTCATGCTTCAAGGCAAATGCCAATGGTGAAGTACAGGTATATTATTTATGTAATAATTTTGAATTCATTTGCCAACCAAAGCTCTATTTGCCGACTGGAATTTTGTTTCCCCCCCCGCTACGCCCCTGTCTGGGATTGCTTGAGGTGCTTCACGTACGTCAAAAGCTCTAGCGGAGATTGTAATATTTACATATTCAAACCATCAAAAAAAAGATCCATGCATATACGTGGTCTTTATTTCACACACCTTGCTTGACTTAAACCAATTTGCCTCAATGGGCCTACATGTACTTGTACGTGTACATGTATGTAATGATTTTTTCCTGAGCTTTTTAAAATGGCAAGAAACCAGCTTACATGTAGCTGGTCAGTTACTTGGTATCACATGAGTGTCAAATCAAAGTAGTCGCACACACTGATTGTACGATTTTGCCGACTTACTTGGGTTCTTCTTGATCGGCCTAGACTCATTGCTCCGGGGCAGGACCAATGCAGCTCCCTTCACAGCAAAGAAACTCTCACTGCATAAACAAGACAATATGTACATGTACATGATGTGTACATTCAATTCAACTTTTTGCCACCATCCAAAAAAAAAAGAAGAAATTCACTGAGTAACAGATTAGGAATTGCCTGAAAATCGCTTTATGTGAGACATAAAATTTCAATCATTACCAATGTAAAATATTAAAACCAATCAATACCAGTATAAATAACTTGTAAGTTTAATGTTAACCACTGATTAAATATAAGTGTCATCTTAACTGATAGCACAAATGATAAATTGTACACTACAAATACATTTATGTATGTACATATAGAAAATAAATGATCGATCAATGTCACTATCAATCATGCATCGTCATTCAACAGATTAATATTGTCACATAGCTGTCAATATAATGTGTATATATGACCCTTACACAACCACAATGTACTGGAAAGTCATGTATCTATCGTATACCCGTATCTGGTATGCCAAAGATATCAAGATACATTTTTGAGGTTTTTTGGATAAGAGGAAAAAGTTGTTTTGCACAACCTTTAAATTCTCAACAGTTCAAAACTAGGTTGGAAAAATATGGCCAATACAAGCAAAAGAAGTAATAACCTCTATTGATCCTGTTTACATGTACCAAGAGCTTGAAATCTGATAACAACAAAGCTCAATTCCCTACAGTAACCCAAGACAAGAACTGTTATCAGGAAGATAATATAACCATAAAACTGACAGGAACTGAGCCTTGTAGCCTCCGCTTTGAAAATACGTTGTCACGCAAGGAAGCCACTGGCACTATCATAGCTTGGTGGGAAAATATAAACAGATGGGTCAGACAGCGGTCAAGTGTTCCACTGGAGAATACTTAAGACAGAGTTGGAAGCTGGGCTAGTGAGAACATGCACAGCTTTGATTCTCTGTCAAGAAAGAGCAGAGGGTTATACATGGGACAGTTGATGTACTGTATCCGTACACTGCCATGTAGGCCGGACGGTAACATTATGTCTAAGGACGAAAATAAATGCAGAAAGGTCACAAAAAGTGCCCTCATAAGTCATTGCGTTGCCAGCTCAGTTACGGTACTTTACCCATGGTCTCGGTAAAAATTTTCCTGTGTCGAGAAAGTCCAAGCCGGACAGTGGTCACATTTGACCATTTTTATTTGACCTTTGACTCGGTAAAACCCACGGAACAAAAAGTCCAGTGCGAAAACGGCTTAAGAGTAAGATTAGGCTTACTGAATGTCTAATATTATGGATTTTCTACATGTTATCAAAACTCTTCGTATCACTGCATTTGGGGACGGGTGCAACAAAACCAGCCTACATGTATCTTCATGCGTGCCTGATGTGCATTTCTCCCCGTTACGTCATCAAACCAACACAAACATAGAATTTGCCTTTGAGTGTTTCTGAAATTGGCACAGTCGGTTGTGGGGGAAAAAAAATGCCTCGTTTCTCTCATCTTAGTTTTTGGTCGACGAATTCATTGCATATTGGATTTTGGGAGGCCAATCTATCCCCAAAACCCCAGATGACAAAATATTTGAAGTCTTTTGAGTACCTCTAGAATTCAGTGTACCATAATTTAGTCTAGTTTAACTCGCAAAAGGCTTATTAGCACACAATTGAGGTGGACCTAGTCTGAGAAACTGTCAAGGCTTAGGGTTCAATGAGGCACATATAATGTGCAGTAGGAATAACAACTTGTGTACTGGTACATTACCTGCACTCAGACACAGTTCAACATTTCATTTTTAAAATTCATGTTCTCAACTGAACTTCTTAATAGGAATTAGAAGACAAAATGAATGTGCACATGTACCGCTGTATGTACTCAAGTCCTCCACTTGTAACTCTACAACCCCATTCCAGCAACTTTCCAACATTTCCAATTTGTCACGTTTTCAACTTCTTTTATTCTAATACATGTACATCTCTGTACCCTACAAAGTTTCCTTCCATGCACTAACAGATAAATCCCACCTACACTTCATATACACCTGTCCACTTACCAAACTGGTACTTTCAAAACCATTCTGGCAAATTTTGATTTCTGCTAAAGCCAAGGGGTTGTCCTGAAATCCAATTCAACTTCAAGCACCTGACTCAAGGTACATGTACATGCATCAAGAAAACTACCGACATGTACAATACGTGTACGGGTGCTCATTGATGGAAACAGTGTAACTTCTTGTTCAACAAGTACCGGTACACGTGCCACTGCACAAGCTCCAGGCTGGGGATTCTGCTGTGGCATCCAAAAAAAGTACGGCCGATGACTTCAATATGCAGGCACAACAAGTAGCATGCAAACCATGGCCCACTCATTAGTACAGGATGCCCCTAATTGAAAGTCAAATCGGGGGCAGGCTTTCATCTGTAATGCGGTTTACGTGAACATGAAATCAGCTCTTTCCCACAAATCATGCTTGGCGTTTGTACTGGATGAATAAGAAAAGTAGACTTTCCACACGGCTGCAGGGACAACCCGTGCCATTCAGGGGGAGACAATGAACACTAGGGTGGGGAGACCCTGTTGACACATTTCACGAGTTCGGAGCTTTTGTCTGAAGGGGAGTGTGGAATGTGTTGTGATCAGTCTTGTCTATGATGGAGTTTCTGGGTCCAGCTCGGAATACCAGTATATTAAGAACACTTTGCCCCTAGGCAGGGATTTGCCATCCATGGTGAATGTGCAGGATGGATCAATTCAATAGTCAACGGATTACAACAGACCAAAGTGGTACTTTGGTTGACCCTTCACAACATACACAAGGAGGTCAATATAGAGATCTTTAACCACCATGTGCATGCAGTGAAGCTGCTTGTCCATTGGGAACAGCAGGAAATAAACCACAGATCTTTCACATTCTTACCATTGTTTCTTGACTCTTTCTTCACTGTCACACTCGTCCTGTTTTGAAAAATAGAGAGGGAAACATTTAGAATCTACTGAAGGAAGTATTAGTGAAAGGTCAGTTCAGGGCTTACACAATGTCAGACAAGCACGCGTTGCCATAGCACCTGTCTCTGAATATACAGTACATGTATTTGTTATGAGAGAAGAGAGAAAGGCACCCTTTGTATCTCTTAGAAAGGAAGACATTCTGGGAGTAATCAACAACACTCTATTAAAGAATAACATATATAGTAGTACCAAACTGCTCACATGTACATGTACCGTAGGCCTACCAAGTGGACTTTAAAGAAGCAGCTTTACACTATACACGTACATACACTGTATGTACATTCAAAGCACATTCACAAAACAACAGAAAATTGCCCCCCCCATGACCAACTGTTGCCCCACCTACAAAGATGAGATGAAAGACACAAACCAAAGGAATCATCTTCACTGAGAACTCCTAGTACAGTACTGGTACCGGTAGGTGGGCATTGACTGCGGCTGTACACCATGTCACGGCTCCTCGCTTGTGATGACTGAAGTTTCTCAGTCTCGCACTGTTTCACCTGTTGATGCTCACACTAACATGGTTCCATCGGCAATAAATCCCAGTATTACCGGTAACAAGACCAATCCAACTGTTCAAGAAATGTGCATCCCACATGTGAACTCGTGACTTGCACACCTGTTTTGTTTGTCGAGGAATGAGACTCAGGGTCAATTACACAAGTCACTAGACCCAAACACAGACTGTGAGAGTAGACACATGGTCAACAACCTGCTGGAGTGCACAAGCAAGTGCTTTGCCCAATTTGCACTGAGCTAGGACAGAAGCTTGATACTGGACTTTTATGCTTCAAGCAAACCCGTTAGCAGCACCAAAAAACAGCTCTCAAATGGGGACAATTGAATCTTCCTCCAAGCACATTTTTTGCCAAGGTACATGCATAGAGAAAGGGAAAACTACCATCTCCACTGGCAAGTTTTAAAAGGGCCTGCAGTGCAGCACAACCTGAGTACGCCTTGAAAAAGTTGCAGGCTGGAATCCCATCTATACAGATCTGTCAACAATCAGAATCTTTTTAGCTCCTGTTCTGAAGAAACAAACATTGGGCATGTTCTGAAATACATGTAGCATCCCATGCGTACAAAGTATTTAATAGGTCACATGCAGCAGACCGTTCACCAAGAGCAGCCTCCACTCCACATCAGTGCAACAGCAACTCCAGATGCAGACATGTATAGGTACTAACACCACAGGCCACCGACACCACCACCAAAACTTCTCATAAAAACAGTCACCAGCAGTCTCAAAGGCACCAAGCTCAATCGAAACCTTCCATCAAATAACTCAGCTGTCTGAACCCTTGGCCAGGCGTGTCCCTCCACCGAAACCACAACAAGAAGTAGCTGACACCGCAAACAGATCTACTGTATCCACCAGGCTGGCTTATTGTGTTCCAATCCATACACAAGGGTATGCCAGCCCAGTGAAACAGATACTCCCTGCCAGCCAATAATTAGAATGTTCAGGGGCCCACCAAGGAAAAATCAACATTAATAAACAGAAGCACACAATGACTGGTCATATGTCAGGAAAGATCCAAACACTTAACACCGGAAAATAATTTTAGACACCTGTCAATCAAACAAGTGGATTATCCAAGTGTAAGAAATGTAGGGCTCCGGGTTTTTAATGGTTCAACAGTAACAGAGGTCTAATTCCTAGAACTCTGAGGGCACTGGGTAGATGGACAGCTGGCAGATGTACATGTACATGTACTACCTCAATATTCTACATGTATCAATGCTTCATTACCACAGACACTGGTATTTCTGTGTTTTACACCTTGAAGCTTATAACGTGTAGGCCTACAGGTGTACAGACTATCTACACCAAGAGCCCATTTTACGGTGTAGATGGCCACATACATGTTAATGTACATGTGTACATGAAGTTGATTTCCATTCAAGAGAGGATTTGTACATGTATCACCTGCATCTTCAGCCTAAGGCCTGTTCCTCAACACAGCCTGGGAGGAGGCAGAAATATCCAATAACCTGCAGAATGCCAAGTTACTGGGCAACTACATGTGCATGTACAGTATACATTCAAAGTAACCTACCGGTACATGTACATGTATGTAGAGTGTAACAACGTGAATGTTTCAAATACCAAGGATACTTAGTGGACTACTAGTAATTTTAATGTAAATTTTGACATACCGGTATTCAGATCACTGAATGGACAGTCAAAAAATCTTTCCCTACATATTCATGTCTGGTATCTGTACATGTACTTGAAATAATTTTTTTCAAGAAAAACTGTTGTATGTATTTCTCATGAACAGAACAACAGCTTCCAACAGTGCTTCAAAACACTTCTCTTTTGACATGTTTGATGGATATCCACGTGTACCTTTAAACTTTCAATTATGATTCGCCATAATAAAGTGACGTTCATGTTATTTGAACATCATGTTGAACACGGGACTTTGTTACTATTTGGAAACTTACTTTTTCAGACAAGACAAAACTTAATAAGAACAAGCATATGCCACTCTCATATGATTTGACATTCTAACAACAGCCACACCTTGCTTCAACATGAAGAGGAACAGTCTTTTATGCCCAAAATAGCAACCCAATTGAGACTCATGAAGTCATCAGCAAGAGGCCCCTCCGAGGCTCCGACTGATGATGTCATCACAGCATGCACTGAATCTCTTAGTCATGTTGTGGATGCATATAATTAATGGTTTCTGCATGTCTACATGTTGCCATGGATCACTTTATTCCAAGTCCAAAGGTCACTGGAGTCCTAGTTTCATTTCTCAGAGGGGAGGGTTGACAGAAAAAGAACAGCGTTGCTTTGTTAGTTTCCTCAGTCAGTTTATTACTCTTGTCATGTACATGTGCATGTGAATATGCTGGCGTTTTCATTGTTTCTGTTGGACAGTTTGACGGTTTCCGAGAATCAATCAGATCATGTCTGTCTATTATCTCATTTCATAATAACATGGCCATTACTTTTTCCAGAGCGTAAATCAAATCTTGATCCAAGTTCCCATTTCCCAGGGCAGACTCAATTTTCCACTGTCTAATATCAGAACGGAAGTTTTGATCCTGCCATGTTAATCATTAAGCAGCATTCTATTTATATCATGGCTTGAAATATTTGGATAACGCTGACAGACAATTTCGCAAACATATACAGTACAATGTATGTGTAGTCGATGACAAACTGTAATGACCATTACATGTCCAATACAAACAGCTTTATCCGCAGTGCCCATAATTCAAAACAAAAACAATGTTAGTGCAGGTCAAATCCAAATGGTGACAAGCACCGTATCCACCCTACACAGAGAGGACGCTCCGGACAAATTACATTTCGTAACACCATCACCGAGCCACAAAAACCAGGGGGGGGGAGGCTGCGACTGCCAAGCTGAGAGATGTCAACCATGTTGGGATGAGATGGTGAGAAGGAATTTCAGGTTATGCGTTCACCAAGTGATAGATGATCCTTGCCAGTGAGATCATATGGACGGCTTGACTCAGTGGGACATTTGTTGCGCATGTACTACATTTAAGCAAAAACACGCAATGTAACAATATTAAAGGCACGAATGTCTGAATTTGATCCTTGTTAAGTTTAATACCTTCTTTATATACTGTACGGTAGGTAACAAAAATTTAGAGTAATAAACCTCTTAAAAATGTGATGCAAAGAAGACACGGATGCTTAAAAAGTGTGCAAAGTCGCAAGAAATATAAACAAAATTAATTATCAGAATTTGGAAAAAAAAAACAAAAATGGAGAAGGCACTTCTTATTTTTTTAACTTGAAACCTTGTAAAAATTCAGGACACCAAGTTGGTTCCAATATAGTGCTTCCAGGTGGGATTCCAGAGGGTTTTTTAATGTTTCAACTTACTGTACTGCATCAAATTTGCAAAGCCTACATGCACGGTACAAGCAAAATAACTTGCAGTCCTCAAGTATGTGTACTCTTTCTTTTGAAGTGTACACCAAGACCCCCATTGTGGTAATAGCCTGAGGCAAATATAAAGCAAATGGTCCCTGGGCGAAAATCACCTGACTACCAAGGTTGGAGGACCAAGGTCAGGGGCAATGTCAAACACCAGGTCACAAGGCTTACAGTGGCATTCCACCAGAGTTTTACCCGGTATTTCAAAGGGAATTTTACCTCAGGTGCCCAAAATATGAATGATTTGAGAGATTTGGAAAGAAGTACCCTGAGGGTTGACATTTTAGACATTTCCTGTTTGTGATGGAATTCCACATGGAAACAAAAGAGTTGATGGGTCCTGATCCACTCTGACTCTGCAGAGGCAACTTTTGGCACACATAGTACATAATAAATGTACATGTACACTGTAGTGTACATGTACGTGTCAAGTGCCCATTAACACCTACGGTACCATATTACCCTCAGACCCAAGGTTTAAAAACCCTATCAATTACACATGTGCACATGTGACCATCTGTTCAGAGGCCAAGTAGGTCTACATTAAAAATTCTTATTTGTGTACCGGGTACATGTTTGTGGTACATGTACAACAGAAAGCCTGCATCGTGTAGACCTACAGACTATGTAGCTACATGTAGCATGATGCATGTTCCTGTGTGTCCCCATGACAGTGCAACATGTACGCATACTGTACACTGTGAGCACATGTATGCAGCATGTTTTGCGTATGCCAGTGCTCATGTTGTTGTGAACTGTTTAACACTGAGGCAAACATGCTGATGACTGCAATTACATACATACCGGTAAGGGTGGTATATCCCTCTCGATCACTAATTCAACAGCCATCCACCAATCAAAAGAGCTACATGTAGATGGAGGACTTTCCAAGATACCAGCGAGGAGGATTTGCCCACTCCAGGATACAGAATCCCACAGTAAACCTAGCCTACAGTGCAGCGTACACGACATTACATGCACACAACTAGGCCGTCTGTATTGTACTACAGTAGCTGTCACCTGACTGCAGAAAGTCATCCGGGAACAGTCCCCAGGCACGTTTGCATATTGCTACAATACAGGCCACCGCAGGTCTGTGTGTGGCAAGTGCCGCATTACGATCTCTTACTTGAGCTCTGGTGGGCAAACACAACTGCCCTCCACTGTTTGACTAAATATGCCAAGCGAGTCAATAATACTATGATGGCAAATGTCACCACCAAGTAGCATTTTACAGGTAAACAACAGTAGACATAGAAAAAAAAAACAGAAATTCATGAATCATAACTACAGTGCGGTACCAGTACATGTACATGACAATTCTTCCTTTCCTTTTTTCCAGTCTTGAATGGCTAGACAATTAATTGAAAATAATTCCCAATTCAAAAACACATGTACATGTAATGAACACAATGTACCTACATGTATTCCTTTATCCCCCAGCAAAACTGTAGACAAATATGGGTAGAGGTATGCATGTGTGTAAAACTGTCACTAACACGTCAGACAATTTAGTTACAGTCTGGAAAGCTGGAGGTAATACAGCAGCCTCTACGCAACTACATTTGCCCAACTACAGGCAACTTACAAAAATGTTTTTGAAATTGGCAAAATGTATTACAAAATGGTGAAATGTATTTTGAAATGGGTAAAATACACTTCAGAACTAATTGCAGAAATGCATGTATCTGAAGGATAAAAATGGTATCAATACCCAGCCTAAGGTACTAGAAATATATTGGCACAGTTTGGCAACAAACGGAAGGTGTGACTTTCCTCAGACAGATGTTGAAATGAAAGACAATTTTGCACCTAATGCACTCAGATCCATTTTTTTTCATTTCCAAAAACCCAAGCAATTTACCTTTTTTAATCTTTTAATGAAGAACATGAGATGGAAACCATTTAAACTGCCATTTCTACTCCAAAGTATATTGAAAATTTCAACTACATGCACATGTAACCTAGCTAATGATAATACACACTTGTAGATTCCTTTATCATGAAAAGTTAATCCCTCCAAGAGCGGAGCATGCATGACGGAGAGACTCTGAACCCCTCGTCATATTACAATTCCCTTTAAGGCAGGCCAAATTAAATTCCTTAACCCAAGATTCCTTTCACATCAAGTGAAATTCCAATTCGCTCTCCGTAAAAGGATATGGTTTCTCTAATGTAATCATTTTCAGTGAAGGAATCAGATAATTTGCCTCCTCAGGGTGAGAGTGCAAAATCAGTGTACTGCACAAGTATCCATGTTCACCCACTGTACCCCGAGGACAGTGCAACAGGCAAGCCTCTAAAATTGATGAATGCTCACCAACTGAAATGCTTCCCAAACCAACGACTGCATTTGCATGATTTTGAGGACTTCAGAAGGGTAGGATCCAGACGAACCACTTTACTGGTACCCTACACAAGGACTCAGGACTCCAATTTTGTGGCAAGTACAAATTTATGGCATCATTGCTC